CTGGAATACATGATTGAAAATCAAAGTGTGCTTTTATGCCTTGACAATCATGAATTTTTCAGGTAGTGTTAGGATTAGGGTAAGTACATAAGCTTTCAGTATTATGCTTTGTTGTGAACTGAAAAAAAATATTTCACACAGGAAGTATTTGCAATAAGTGATGATGAATGTGGTCTTAAAAAATCAAGAAAGATAATTAAACATTACTTTTAACTATGATGAATGTTAAAGTATACTATCATACAATACATTTTTAAAAATCATTTCTCTTAAAACAACTTCTCAACTTTATTTTGCCACTGGCTCACTTAAACACATTTTTTTAACATTCCCTGTTAAAAACTGCTATTTTTACTTATATAAAGTTATGTTTTCAAAGCTCTCATGAAATATGCTGTAGTCTACCAGGGGAGCCATATGGCTGACATTGAGAAACGCAGCTTCAAAGAACCATAACTTCTCACTCTAAAGAACACTAACCATCATTGTTGTTCTTATGGACTATTTATTACTGGCCAATTTACAGCTGGCTAGCTCTCATGGTGAGCGATGGAAAAAAATAGAATTGTTTTTTTTAAAGAGGCTCTTTGGAACTTTCATGGTCAGCTATCGATGATAATCATAGATCTAAAATTTTGAGTTAGGGGTTCCACTATATTTAGAATTGAGACTTAAAATTTAGAACTTGATAACCACACTAGCTTGATGCATAAATAATATCAGGGGCCTATAAGATATATATATTACTAGAAGATATGACCCAGTGTTACTGGGCTAAAAATGGAAAGCGCTACTTGCTATCTGCTATTGCATATGTAATAGTATCAGGTTTTGAGATATTGTGTCCTCGAAAAAGTTTTTTACACTCTTGAAATGTATATTTAGGAAATTGTAAATCCGACTTTCCCTTTCTAAAGAAGTATCTATGTATAGTTGCTAATATTTCTAACATCATTGGATTTTGAGAAAAGTTTATCCTCTATATAACATAGGCCTCTGGACTACAACTCAATGGAAAATAATTATTACATTAAATTGATTTATAATTAATAATAATACTTACAAAGTAAAGATTACTTCAACTTGCATACAAATTTTCATGTTTAAATTGATTAGATTACGGAAAATAATACAAAATCATTATCATTGTCTTATGAGAATCAGAGTGCATTTAAACTGATTCCATTTCCATAAAATAACACAAAATCAATATCACTGTTTTTAAGAATCAAAGTGTAACCTACCAACTAGGACCTACATTGGCTCATTCTTGATAAAAGAGTAGTAAGTCACATGGGTTTTGCCCAGAGTTGTCACTTTGTTGGGGAATCCCAACACTGGACTAAGGATGCATAGACCAATAGTCAATAGTTGGTCCTGAACAATGTGTATGATAACTTTCCCTTTCCTTACTGAGCAGTATTCGCTTCACAAATTAAATCTAACCATTGATACAGGTAATATGAAATAGATTTGAATAAAAATTTCCATTCGTATTATTAAAATACAAGGGTCAAAAGAAATCCTTGCTGACATTGACATCTCAAAATGAACAACAGACATTGACATCTCAAAATGAACAACAGAAAAAAATATGCACCTATTGTTTAAAATTCTGTCTTTTGATTGGTTGAAAAAGGAAGTACCCATATGATATTCATTTATATTCTCCAAATTTCAATACAAAAATAAGAAACAAAATAATTTCTGGCAAGGGGAGACCCCTCCACCCCTCCAACCACTTTCAAGACAAAAAACATTGAAATTGCAAAGTAACTGCTCATTTGATGCATTTTACTAGTGTTATGAATTTTGGACCAGTGTTTGGAGCAGGGCTGAACATTTTTATAAAACAACTTATGACCATACTGCCACTAGCCCAATTCTCATAAAGATATATTATTGATATATATAGGTACTTCGGTAAAGTAAGGGACACTCCAAGAAAATTTGTATCGGAAATGGGGGTCGACGCAATGAATCCAAGTTTTTAATTTTTTGATGTGGGTGTCATTTAAATAATAGATTCCTTTTGGCCCATAATTAAGGTCTGACTCCGGCCTTTCACATTAGGAGAAATGTTGACATACATTCCCATTGAGTTTTTTTTGTTCTTTATATCACCTTTAAGTGAGGAAAATCGTGTGTCAGTATAAGGCATCTTTCAACATCAAATTTTATTGAAATATTAAAAGTAGGTCTTTCATATTAATTGAAAATCTGCATAATATATTGACATATACGTGTGCAAAATTTCAATGCACTAGCTCATGAAACGTTTTCACAATTCTCCTTAACTCACACCTAATTATGCAAAGGTCGCACAGGCCATTATGGATTAGTGACTACGCCCCTTTTAAATGGCGAAAGATGCCGATACTTAGATTAGGAAATATTCAATTATTACCACTATATACATCAAAATATTTGAAAACTTGTGTTTCATAATGCATTTTGAAGACATTTAAACTGGAATGTTTTAATTTGAGATTTAAAAATATGGTAGAGTCCATATTATAAATGATCAGAATTTTCTTTGTGCAAAATGTTGTCATGGGCAACCATTGACAGCCACTTGTATATGGCTATATTGTAGTACTACCTCAGAGTTTCATTCATAAGAGATTGCAGTGTGCAAAAACTATTAAACCATTGGTCCGGAAAAGCTGTAATTAATTAGTCATGTGCCAAAGTTGAAAGTTCGAAATAAGTAGTCCCCAAACAGTATTTTAGTAATAAGGGGATGCGTTGCCTTATATAGACAATGTAGATTATACTCGTATAATGGTTGCCTTAGATTTTGTAAACAGAAAAGCTTTATATTAATACACTATATTAAAAATTTACTGATACACATAGTGCACGGTTAGAGATAAGCTACAATTTATCTTATCTATAATTCTATAACATTATTAAATTATTTTTTAATACAGCATTAGTTCTGAAAATAAAAGTTGTGCAAAATTATCAATGAAACGAGAATTATTGTGACAAGAATAGCCGAATTGGGTCACAAAATGTGAAGATGCGGTCCATGATAATATTGTTAAAAAGGACAAATAAAGTCGTATTTAAAAAATTCATACATTAAAAACTACAACAGCTAAACATAAGATTTTGGTGATATAAAATTCTTTTAAAAAAATAGGTCTATTCAACTATGCCATTGGTTTATCTTCACAAAATTTTTAAATGCTTTACTAAAGTATCTAATGCCTAATATATTATATAAAACAAACTGACAAAACTGGCTTAATTTAATCTTAAATACCATTATGGCTAATGTGAAGAGATGGCACCCTGGTTCCGATAGGGTCAAAACCCTGGTTCCGATATGGTCAAAACCCAGGACGCCCAGGTTAGGGATAAGTTTAGGGTTCAGGTTAGGTTTAGGGCCTAAACCTAACCTGAACCCTAATGGTTTAGGGCCTAAACCTAACCTGAACCCTAATGGTTTAGGGATAGATTTAGGGTTCAGGTTAGGTTTAGGGATACATAGGACATATGTTCGCGGGTCGCGGCAACCAAGGTAAAAAAATGTAAAACGCTGTGCCCTATCTCTTCCTTCACATTTACCTAAATTATTTTTAAAATATTAAAATATGCCTTTTTGTCAGTTTTGTTTAATATTGTCAATATTGTGTTTCAAATCCAATGATTCATAGACCTAAATTTAAATGATCATGAATTTAATGTCTACTTTACTTCATCAATTTAAAAAAAAAAATATTAAACAATAGATTCAATATTGTCAACTTCAAAGGGGAGCTATGACATGATATATTGTTGTATTTTTACAGGAAAGTTATTTCCCTTAGTCTAACACTTGCACTTATAATTATCAGTATCAGTATAGTATAGCAGTCTGATAACCCAATATATTAATTATCGTTTTTCACATTCACGGGCTGGAAATATTAAATATATATGAAAGTTAAGTTTATCAAGAAATCAAATTTGATATTTAAAGATTCTGAAGATTACAGAAAGATTTTAAAATTAACTTCTGGACCCAAAATTCTAAATAAACTTAGTCTTAAGTCTACACTACTAATACTAACTCTTACTGGGGCCTCGTAGTATTAAGCCCGGTGAGGGGTTAGGTATATTAGTACTTCGTGGAACCCTGAAAAACAATATTTAATCATTTCATTTTGGTGTTAGCTATTACACTGGTATTTCAAGAAATCTTACCTTCCAGTCATATATTACGTTTCCAGACTTTCAGAAATCACCTCTTTTATTTTTAAAGGAAAACAGTGGCTGCCATTTAATGGCGGAAGTTAGGGTTACTCACTTCCGGTTGACAAATTTGGCAATCCTGCTCCAAGGAATTTGGAAGGTTAAAGGTCATTGATCCCAACCAATATATTTTAAAAACTTTTTGTTCTTTTCTTTTAATGCTTTTTTTTTTTAATTGGGGGGGGGGGTAGTGGTAGTTTAAAATTTTGCTATTTATTTGATAAATATAAGGTTTTTAATTAAAAATCAACCAAGAAAAAATATCTATTTTTCCCAACCAATATATTTTAAAAACTTTTTGTTCTTTTCTTTTAATGCTTTTTTTTTTTAATTGGGGGGGGGGTAGTGGTGGTTTAAAATTTTGCTATTTATTTGATAAATATCAGGTTTTTAATTAAAAATCAACCAAGAAAACATATCTATTTTGATAATATGAGTAATAAGAATGATGTCATCTACTCAATCCTAATTTAAAAATACATTAGTTTAGTCTGTACTCTGTACGCATACCGGTATATATTATATATTATGACGCTAAGTGAGCAGGTAATATATTTTTGTAAAATATTGATCTCACCTCTGATATTTATATATTAAAATGTAGGGATAGGAGGGGAAAGGGGGACAATTAACAGTTAAAAGGTAGAGGAAAAAGATAATGAAATTAAAAAAGCATTGAAATTGAAATATATTTTGTTACAATGATATTTTTCTTTGGTAATTTCCAGGGCCAGGAGTGTTCTGACTTTTTTTTTTTTAAGTAGCCTTATTCAGTAATCAGTCACCCGGCACAAATTTTTAGTGTTTTTTTAATAACGCCAAGAACCAGGCAGTACCATCACCAGTTAAAGCTTTAACTTTAAGAACAAAAGAGATACAGGGTTCAAGTCACTTTCCAAATTTACTTCACCAAAGTGATTATAAATATTTTATTGTATATAAAAATATGAAAACGGATTTCATAATTAAACTGTTCAATTTTGTTGTAAGCAATAAATGAGAGAACAATAATAATTTCAGCCAGGTAAGATAGTTAATAAAGTGTAGATATATTAAATTTGAGCATAATTAATTAAAATTTGTCTTAAGTTTCAGGATTTTAAAATTTCAACGAAAAGTGAAAATGTGTGCAAATGTTTTACACTAGATAATTTTACCATAAACATACACTGTCATGCTTTGTGCTATTTATTTTAATTGTTACATAAACAAGAATTGTCTGAAAGATCATAATTCTCTATTTACATAACATTCATTTTTAATTAATTAAAATATGATGAAGTATAATAATAATAATAGTACTAAAGCTATTTACAAACATAAAAATATATATTACTTAAAAAAACTGTTTCATTTAGAAATAACCAGAATTTTTTAGATCACAAAATTTCAGACTAGGAAATAGTTTAGATACATGAATGGCTTCATAAATTCATAAACTGAGTCAATATTATCAAATGGGTTATTGATTTTTTTTTTTTAATTAATGTTTTATTTATGAAATGTTTTTTCAAAAAAATAATGAAAAATCCTGCATTAGCATAACTGAGGTGTCTTTTAATAAAATGCAATACAAAATAGTATTTATATTAATCTCCCTAGTACCTTAATCAAATCTAATTGCAGCCGCAACTGAATTTTCATGATAAAAGTCTAGTCTAAAGCTTAAGAAATCAAATCAGTCACCATTATTGATATATAAATACACATAATAAAAAAAGCCCATTCCATTGTGGATTTCAATTTCACTCTACTTCAAGAAAACTGGAATGTAAATTAAAATTGAGCAATTTTTAAAAACAGATTAAGAACTTAACCTAAGCCATCTATTAATTTTAATCATAGCTTTTAATTACTTCATGTGACCAGGGGTAGACTGGGACATAAGGAAAATTCCCTGCCGAGATCTGTGATATTTGGAAAGCTTTTAAATTACTTAAAATGTGCATATTAAATCTATTCTTAAAGAGGCCAGTTCGACACTCCAGTCCACCACTGTATGTGGCATTTTGGCCACCCTAATACTTACTATCTTGGTGTGAAATAGTGTTCAATATAGTTGCACTTTTGTTTATCATAGTGGTACATTAAATCATTGTCTGATATGGAAGTAAGACTAAAGAAAACTGTGAATTTTTCTTTGTAAAAGCAGGTTAGCATTTCCTAAATGGCAGGTAACTATTACAATTTATATTATGTATGATAAAGCATATCACTACCACAGCAAATATATTCATTGTAAGTACCCTCATACAAAATCACAAACAGAAATCTGGCATTTTATTTTAGGAACATTTGAAAGCAGTTGTTTCAAGAAGATCTTAAATTTATGCATTGGACTTCAAAAAAACAATAATATGGTATTTAAAATTTTTGTCCGTACAATGATCATATAAGTATGAGCAAAAACAAAATGTCACCCTTATGGCTAAATATTTAGAAATCATTTGCAATAATTTTTCTTTTTTTTTTTAAATTATTATTTACGATTCTCAGAAAACTTCATCAAATTTGAGTATTATGGCAACACATAATTTTTATTACCAAACAGAGTAACATTGTCAGAAAAATAAAACATATGAAAATGAAACTTTTTACAAATTTCATAAAAAGGAAGAAGAAAATTTAAGATGACTAATTATCCTTTAACATTAGTTAGCTTAAAAACCCACAGCCACTCACAAGGCATCCGGTTAAAAGGAATGGGAGGTATGTCGATAAATAAGCCAGCACTCGGCGAATAGGTGTAATTAAATTCTGCAGTGTATGAACCAAGTAAGGTTACTTTGGTCTGAGGAGTTGAGAAAGGAGCGCTGAGTTTCAAGACCTTTTCAGGCCATGTAAAGACAAAAGCATAGACAGCATTTAGTTCTTCACGCTGAGTGTACCTGGAATGATCAAGTAAGAACATTTCTAAGAGGAAAGTTTTCTCTTGATAGTGTTGTTTTTTTAAATAGTCAAAATAGGTCCTTAAAATATATGGAGATTTTTATGAGATACAAATTTTGATATACTATAAAACAATGATATTTATAAATTATAACTTAAACTGACAATAATATAATTGAAATACAAAACTTATAGGCCAGCAGCTTATACAGAGATTAGTGATGATTTTCCTAGCCCAGTGGTTCCTAAAGTGTGTGCTGTGGTGCCCTGGGCAGCTTTGGTTCCCTCAGGGATTGCCGCAAAGTAATATAAAATTTTCATTAAAAAATTTCCATTTGAAACTCAATGCCTATTTTCCTATGGAGTTAGTACAATTTGAAATACGACACCAAGAATAGAAAAGGTTTTGGAGCCACTGGCTTAGCCTGTCAACGCCTTTCCATACATTCAATTTTTCTTTATTTAAACAGTTATTCTTTTTAAGAAATTACTATATTTTTATGGATAATAAATAATACTAACCATTCACTTTGAGTGACTGCACTCAACATGCACTGTGTGCAACAGTACATACACAATGCACCTTGTGTAGCAGTACTTACCATCCACCTTGTGTAAAAATTTGTGTGACAGTATTCACCACACACCCTGTGTGACAGTACTCACCATACACCCTGTGTGACAGTGTCATTCTGATGAAGCCAGGGCCGAGATTTGTAAACAGCCTCACCATTGACAGCCAGCCAAGATCCCATCTGGTGAAGCCTCTCCTCAAATATGGGAGGGATGGTGCCGTCCTTAGTGGGGCCAACATTGATCAGGATGTTACCATTGCAGCTAATGCAAAGAAAGGAAAGCCCCAAACAACTTTAATTTAGTCCGGTATTTTCTTTTGAATTACACTTGCTGGTACTAATATTATTATTATTAATTAATTTTTTTTTGCTAAATAATTGAAGAGAGACAATTTTTAAAACTTGCAAGATTAAATTCATGACAGCCTTGATATTATTACACATTCATCTCTGTTGGTTTCACTGTTTTATATGTGTGGAAGCCATCATTTTAAAATATCATCATGTTTATAAAATCTATACCAAAATCACACAGTGTTTAGGGTAAGGAAGATCTTAATATGCAATGATTTTGTTGTTTTAAAACCATCACTTTTCAAGTCTTGCACTTGTTATGATTGCTACTAATAATGAGGTTAGCATGTTATAAAACCACCACTATTCAATTCTTTCACTTTTTATGATTGCTACAACTAATGAAGTTAATATGGTTTAACTTTAACACAAGTTCAAGCAAAACAGCTGAAAGGGATATGTCCTCATTTTTTGGCAACTTTGTTAGACAATAATTTAATAAATTATTTCACAGCCCACTAACCTAATAGTTTTGGCAATTGTCTGTAGAAGACGCTCTATTGAGATAACATCCGACAGCTTCATGTCGCGTCTGTAGCCCCAGGATGCCCCATCAAGTTTCATGGCATTCTCAAACTTGCGAACATTCAAAGTGCCTGCGGAGTTTTTGAATATCAAACAATTTGGCACAGCTACAAACTTCTGAAACAAAGTTTGCACCTGTTGTGTAGATAGACTGGTCTAAATATAAAATTTTACATTTGCACTTTATATAGTTTATGTGGAATTCAAACTTTTCTTTAATGACAAAATCTATAAATTCTAGAATTCTTAAAATATGTGAATGAAAATAAGTTTATAATAAAAAAATGACCAACTATCTCACCTGGATTGTACTGATCCGAACATGTAAGAAAGCCTCCATGTTTACAAACGCAATTGTCACCCCATCTGTCATTAGTAACAACTGTGTCCTTCACGGGGCTAAATAAAGACATAAACACTTTTCAGATATGTTCAGGAAATATTTCAACTGGAAATTTTTACAGAACAATTTATATTTAGATTTATATTTTTGTCTGCTAAAAAAAAAGGCAAAACTTATAAGTTCATTATTTTAACACAAGTAACACCACACACTGCACTTGTTATATTTTTTTCTAAAATAATAGGAATAATGCTGAGATTGTACTGTACAAAATAATTATTAGATATAGAATTGTATCACCATTACACACTTACATTTCTTCTTATTATTTCTCTCATATTTTTTAAAAGCTTTGTGTTATCTTATTTATTAACTCTCACTTAAAAGCCATCATTTGTGAAAATGTATTGTAAGTTGCTGGGTTTTATCACAAAATACATGATAGCAGATCTAGTATTGTGAAACAATAAAATAGTGAGTGGCTTTTTTAAACTTTCAAAATTTTTTTGTACAAATTTTAATAAATCATCTTGGTAAGGTCAGCCCCACCCCACTTCCTACACTAATTGTTATAATTAACAGTTTGACCTTATAAAAATATTAATGATAAGCACCTTTCATTGTACAGCCAGGCAAGGAAGTAAGTACTATTCCAGTAGGCGTCTGTGCTAGGGCAACCATCAGACCAGACAACATCAGGTTTGTAAGCATTTACCAGCTCATACAGCTCAGGCAAGGACTTTGTCTATAGAGAAGAGAAGATATTTATTTAGATCTCAAAATGTTACAATAATGCAGATTTCTGCAATAATGTTACTGTCGCACTTGCACACCCCTGGGCCTTTGGAAAAAATAAATAACTTCTTAAATAACATGTGATCTATTCTTTGATGACAGACTAGAGAATTATTGAGGGTATTAAATTTAAGATTTTAAATGATGTTTAATAACACTTTTAATCACCCCTCTTCATATTAAAGTTGGTAATAAATGTAAAAATCAGGCTAAAAATGGGTATTGAATAAGAACAGTTTAGAAAAGAAAAGTCCAAGCAGAGTGTTAAATGGTAGTACTGCAGTGGCAAAGGGTGTGCCATTAGTGGTCCTCATCAGCTATCCTCCCCACAAGAGGCACCATCACAGGACCATACCAGAATAGCATAACACCCTCACTAAATTGCAGTATGTGTTGTTGTTGTTTTTTGTGTAAAACCACTAGACAAAGTTATCAAATAAAAGAACAGAATTATTCCATATGAAACATGTAGAACCAAAATAAACAAACGAACAAAAGGAAAATCCTGGGTCTTGTAGCCATTGGCCTCATCTTGCAGGTACACTGGGTTAAACCACTCAAAGAGAGAGTGGTAGATTCCATACCTAAGGTTTGGATATTTGCGTACTGCGGTAGATATGTCTGCTGCAAATATGGAAGGAAGAATTGAAAAAAGTTACTGTACCAAAAAAAATATTCTGACATTAAAATAAGACTAACAGTTATAAAAACAAACGTCATAACTACAAACAAAATATTTACAAGAAAACAATAATCAAAAGAAACTTCCAATCTTAAGCATCTTACATGCTTGTTTTATTTCACAATTTAAGCATGTATGCTTACTAATCTTAAAGATACAGAGCTCAAGGATTAGATAAGAAGAGTCATCAGAATTACCAACAAGATCTCTATTAGGACCCACATCCATTGAATTCCAGTTGAACGAATGTTTTGAGGGCCAGCTTGTAAATCCTTCATGATGCTTTGCAACTTGAACAACATACCTGAATATTATTAACTTAAATTATATTTTTTAATGAGTGGTGTGTTTTACAAAAAAAAAAAATGGTCTTACGAACTCACAATTTCACTCTGAAAACATTATTGATATTCAATGAGAATATTTATCAAAAAAATTAATTCACTCACAGAATAGGGTCTTCCAATACTTCCATGAGGTTATAAAAAGTAGAACAAATCGTAAGACATTATTATTGCTTGGGATATTATAAACAGTTATTTCAAAATTAAAATTTAAAAAAACTGGTCTAATAATTTAAAGAGCTTGGCGCCTCATTGTGAGCTAATAATATTAATACTGACATTTATAGTAATTAATAACTAATACAAAAAATAAATTGAGACCATCAAAAGTGCCACAGGAGTGTTTTCTTTAATTTAATTAGTTTTGGCACACATCTATTTAGTTTTTTCGTTATTGATTGAAATAATAAATTTGCACTTTAAATCACTGTTATGCCTTGACTTACGTCAGTTCAGACTTTCATTAAATATGTCAAAATAGCAGAGCCTTGCTTTATTCATAATTTTTAGATAGTTCCATAGAATTAATTCTTTATTACCCATTAGCAGGTTGAACAAATAGTGGCATTGGATTGTCCCACATTTTTTGCAGAAAACAATAATTATTAGCTCTAAAAATAGCATTTTTCAGCTTTGAAGTAAATACATATAAGCAAATATTCAGCCCAACCTTTGGCTTCAACCCATTTTAGTACCGTACCTTGCTCCTGATGCATTAAATATCTCTGCCCAGTGGTCAGGGTTGTATATTCCTGCAGGTGTGTCAAACTGTTCAGCAAAGTCAGCATATGTCCAACCAGGCGGGTAGTTTTTATCCATAAAATTTAAAATCGATGGCCATTGTTTAGGACCTTGCCAGTGATACCAGAACCACTCACTGCTAAAACTTGGAACTGATAAAATTAATAAACTGGGCTCAAACTCAAAGGTTAATATAATCACTAGTTCTTTAAACCAACACTAAATAATGCATTTGTAACATTCACTACTTACTGAGCAGTAATAATAATTAAACACATTTTTTTTTAATAAAAAGAAGAGGGGAGGGGGTACTATTAATTTTATTATTAATAGTAATAATATTATTTACCGGTATCAATTAATTTGACAAATGTAACTTTGATTTATTAAGAATTATATGAACAGTGTTTTTAATATGTTTTAAGTACAACTATCATTGCTATATGAAGACTTATTTTGGCTAATCATAAAGGTTTGGGTTATGAGTATGACAGTTCACAGCTCCTTCCATTGTTTGAATAGGCATAGGATTGCAGAAACTGTCAATGTTGGTTTTTTTCCCAAAATATACCATGACATCTTATTATTGACCTAAATATCAAAATAAATACGCCCCCCCCTCCAAGCTTGATAAATCAGGCAGGCATGGACTTAATGCTTAATATAAGCATAAAGCTACTTAAACACAAGTGCAGGTATGTTGTGGAACAAGACTTGACATGTACACACATCACTATTTATAATCTTATGATTCAGCATTGAATTTTTAAATTAAGTTTTTTAATTTTTTATTTACAATTTTCATTAATGAATTTAATGAGATAGGCCTAGATCACTTCATAGCCGGGCGTGTCATTCATTATGAATTTATAAAGTAATAAAGGGAAGTAAAAATAAAATTTTAAAATATATACCGGTATAATATAATTTATATATAATAAAATGAAATAAACACTATTAAATATCTATAATATTTTATTAACTGAGATATAATAAAGAATATTCACTTTTTAATTTTAAGCGACTAATAATTATAATATAAGAGGGGTTTAAGTGTTAACATCTATGGCCATTAAGCTTTTAAGGACCGGCCGGTAATAGTAAGTAGTCTAAAGCAGACCTGTTTACTCTTATGATTTTTGCGTACCGGTACTGTACAATTATGAGGTGTATAAATTATATGTATTGTATGTTTATTTTTTTACCATTAGATAATGTATTGAAAGATTTTGTTATGATATTGTACGATTTTAAGAGTTTGAGGGTAAACGGATCTGCTAAAGTTAAAGACACACATTTTGAATAGCCTACCTATACCTTTCTTTTTCTAGTCTATACACTTCTATTGGGATAGTTAGATAGAGCAGTAACTATATTTAGTATGCTTATAATAATGTTGAATTTATATCACTTAATTTAGGAAAGATAGTAATCTAAGATAAAGCGCTAATTTCAGTAGATTAGGGCTAGGGGTAAATTATGAGAGATCTCCCCAGGGTATCAGCCATCTTGGTTGACACAACCTGTTAATTGTGTCACTAAACCTAAACTAAATGTATCCCTATGCCTAACCTGAACCCTAAATCGATCCCTATGCCTAACCTGAACCCTAAATTTAAATATTAAATATGCCTAACCTGAACCCTAAATCGATCCCTCAACCTAACCTAAACCCTAATTCAATGCAACTATAATAAACACGCAAATGACATCATGGGGAGAACATTAAGAATCAGCCCGGCTAGGGTAACCCAGATTACTAATAGTAATAAAACATGCCTATACTTAGATACTATACTCAATACTGTACTTAGACTTTTAGAATTATTAATACTTTTCCTTAATTTGAACAGGTGCTAAGCTAATAATTATTTATAATTTAATTTATATTCACCTTGAGTCTAAATAATTTTAGATTGGTTGGGAGCAAATAAAAAGTTAATTTCTTGTTTTAAATTTGAAAGCAAAAAATAATTTTTAAAAAAATTATAATAGACAGTATAGTGATTAGTTAGTAAATAGGACGTAAAATTAATGCAGGCTCTACGATTACGACGAACACTCTAACTCTAACTCTAACAGTACTAACATAACACACTTTTAAATTTAATTTTGGCCCAACCTGAAAAAACACCCCAATGAATGAAAATTCCAATTTTCCCTTGGTCGTACCAAAGAGGTAAAGGCCTAGAGTCTAGTGAATCCCAGTTAGGTTCATATTTAATATTTGTAGGTGCTTCTGTGGCGGCAAATCCAATAATACCGAACGCAAGTAAGTATGTTGCTAATATATCCGCCATTTTGTCCAGTCACATGACTAAATGGTTACGCTGTGTTGCCAGGTTTTGGTTTGTTGTTAAAAAGTAAAGAATGAAAAGAAAACACTTTATTAGCTACTCTTTAAATTTGTGTACGTCTTATATTTAATATTAACCTAAAGCAATCTAATAAATATATACATACCAGTTAGATCAGTGAACATTTAAAAGTTATAATTTTTTTTAATTTTGTTAAATTTTCTATAAAGGTTTCTTTGCTGAAATGGTGACAAATATATATTTAAAGTTAAGGACATGGACAATTTAAAAAAATTTAAAACAAAATATTAAAATTAACAATAATTTATTCAAATTACTGCTTTAAAGCAGACATATTGCACATGAAATGTCAATTACTCAAAATTAATTACAGAACTTTCATTGGTTTACACACTAATTATTTACATCACAGTAATAGAGCAACAAATAAAATAATCTAACCGCACACACACAAAAACATAATACTTGAAACACACAATTTTTTGGTAATCACACTCCGAACAGTAATAACATTTATGGACATTTAATTCATCACTTTTCAATCAACAGCAACATGAAGGATGATCTCTAGAAAAAACATTTTGAGACTAACTAAATGAAAAAACTGTACACATAATTTAAAGAAAGAAAGTAGCTTATGGTAATTGTATTTCTACCTGTATAAATAGATTTTGTTTTTGGTATGTAATTAGAAGATCTAAGTTCCTTATATATTTTAATAAAAATATAATTAGCTACACAGTAATTTTTACAATTTAAAATGATCTAAAAGGAAAAATAAAAAAAATCATTTTCAAGTATGAACTAACTGTGAATAAAAAAGATAGACTAATTCTATTTGACAAGCTGAATTTAAAATCACAAATTAAAGGCACTTTCTGGACAAAATTCAAAGTTAAATTCTAGCTAAGAAAAAAATAAGTTATTTAAAAATTATTTTTGGCCATGGGGAAGGAATATTATTCAAAAATTAGTTTATTAAGTAGGCTTAAAATTGTGTCTGGTATTTAAAAAATTACAACAAATTTTTTTTATTTCTGTAAAGCTAAACTTTCTTGCAATCAACACAAGCAGCTCCAAGCTGTGATCTCAATACAGTTTAAAAATCATTTACGCCTTTCATTTTGTAATATCACATACAAAATTGGTAGAACTCAGCAAAATAAAATACCTGCAAACATCGCAATCAAAATAACAAAGAACCAACAAAGTTCAAAATTATCAATAGAGGAGCTGACATATCTTTACTACTTTACGATCAGATTTAACACTTTATCAAGTCTCATCAATACCCTAATGGTATGATACAACAATTTAAACCTTTAAAAAAACAGCAGGTTGGCCTTGCCTAAATGGTCTTTAGTAGAACACTGCATGACTATCGGTAACATAAAGCTGACAATGGTCTTTAGTAGAGCACTGCATGACTATCGGTAACATAAAGCTGACTAACTTTTATTTCTATTCACAATTGATGAATTTAAAACAAAAGCAGTTAATATGCTTTTCCCCATGTTTAATTTTTTATTCAAATTTTAACTGTTTTAGCTTTTTCGCAAGGAGTTAGCATCTTAAATGACCAACAACATCTAATGAACATCACTTAGGTAACAACATAAACATTAAAAAAACAAAACATTTTCCCAAAAGTACAAATTGAATGTATGAAACATGTTGGAGGAGATTTGTTGGTCTGGATGATTTAATTATTTTATTTTTTATTTATTTAAAAGGATAGATTTGAGTGGGAAAGGTTTTACACTAACAGCAAGGGACATCATTGTAATCTTACAAGGGACATCATTGTAATCTTAATGACACAGGAAGACACAGTTTATGATGACCCATAGTTGCAGTACCAACGTGCTGAAAGATTTTTTTTGATAGATAGGATGCATTTTTCATTCCCTTGATTTTGGAACACTGGTTCTCAAACTTCCTAATGCAACAAACCTTTAATACAGTTCGTCATGTTGTGGTGACCCCCAACATTAAAATTATTTTCATTGCTACTTCATAACTGTAGAGTATATGTTTTACAATGGTCTTAAGCGACCCCTGTGAAAGCGTCATTCGACCCCCAAAAGGAGACATCCAACTTTAGACGGAGAAAATAAAAGGTTCAAGGAAATTCTGACCACAGAGGCAATCTTGCGGCTTGTTTAAGAATTTGGTTTTAAAATAAGGAGATTATCATTTGAAATGAAATTTTTTTGTTATTGACAGAAAATTATTTTAATTTCAATACGGGATGCATCAAACAAGAAGCGAACATACAATGGCCAGTGAAATCCTAATGAGCAATGGATTAGTTACTTAGACTCCGGTATGGCAAATTAAAACAAGAGCTTTCACATAAAAATATCAAACATATTTTATTTTAATAGCTATCGTTATGTGAATAATTAGAATTAAAGAATTACAAAAAAATTATGTCTTCATTCCCTTGATGGACATGGATGGAGTAACATTACCCTTTTGATAAAATAAATAGTAAACAAATTGAAATTTTATTTTTAAAAAGGAAAAAAAAAACACCACTGAAAAGAGGGCTGATAGGAGGTCCCCAAACTAAAAAAAAAATAATTGAACACAGCCTTGAGATTAAATCAGAGCTCAGTAACACTTTTCAATCTGAAGCCTTTCCAAGAATTCCGCAGCAAAAAAGTAAAAACATGCCATATTGTTCTAAATAACATAATGTAGATATAAAGGAAAATGCTAAAATGGACGATAATACTATATTGACAGTCTGTATTGGACAAATTTCTGTTGAAGCTTTTCAACAATGTCCCCTTTGTAGCAACTTGGCTTATTTATGTATCTAAATATAGTTTGTGCTTTTCCTCCTCTTGCAGGCATTTTGTGTGGCTCTCGTGGCCACATCTTGCGGCACACCAGTGTTCCACCACGCACTGGTTTCAGGGTTCTGGCTTAAATGACAAACTCAAGTTGTTGTTTTTTTAGTGGTATACTACACCCACAGTGAGTCAACATTTTATCAAACTATTTTGTTGGTTCACATTAGGAAATCAATGCATATGCCCTAAAGCAGATACTTGCTTACAGACATAATTGGACATGTCAAGCCAGAAATCACTCACACACAAAAATCTTATTAGAATTAATGTCATGGTCATCAAGTTTCAAAATCAAAAGGTACAGATGATCAAATACCCAGCTTTAATAAAGGAATTTGTTTTGTTTCCATCCAACTCAGCTTGAGAAATTGACCAAAATAAAAGTCTAATGATGTATTTTTAGAACACCTAATAAGGCAGATAGAATTTTGGTGCAATACAAAAATAACCACTGGCAACGCAAAAACATTTTTACGAAGGTTTATCATTATGTTTTAGAAAATAAACAATCTTTTTAATTAGTAGATTTCATACTTAAAGTATCACTCAAGGACTTTAAACCTATCATGTTATCTGTAACCCCACAATGCTGTTGTAGAAACCAACAATACCCTAAATATTTAAGTTTTAGTTATGAATGGTAAAAATATACTAGTTGTTTTTTTTATTCCTGGCACAATGAAAAGGAAGCTATTCTGCCCTGTGGAAAACAGAGTGAGAACCCTTGGGAATTTGAATTATTTTTTACCAAAAAAACTAGGAAGAATTGTTTTAATTTAAAAATCAGTTGCAAGAAGTTATTGATAGATTCAAGCAAGGATCAGACACGAAAAGTAACAAGAAGTTATTGATAGATTCAAGCGAGAATCAGATCAGACATAAAAATTAAAAAGAAGTTATTGATAGATTCAAGCAAGGATCAGACATAAAAAGTAACAAAGTTATTGATAGATTCAAGCAAGGATCAGACACAAAATGTAACAGTTTGATTAGAATATCAAGAGTAAGCATTAATCCTTGGTAATATGAGCAAAATGGGGATATGCAAATATGAATACACATTTGTGTTGTAGCTGAGAGTGAAAAAGGAGGGGTCAAAATGATGAAAATATGCAGTACAAAAGGGGTAGGCGTAAGTTTGAAATGAAATCAAAGTGAATTATCAATTTTGAAAAAAAATTGGGGAACATAATAAGTACATGAACATAGGAACTTACTAGAAGTTGTATGGCACCATTGGAATGTTTCGGGCACTAGTTCGATAGACTGGTCAAGTGAACTACTCAATTCTCAGGTTCTTGGGGTTTTACATTACATACTAAAGCATAATATAGTCTGTGAGTTATAGTTTGATTTCAAGCATGGTTCAAACTAAAAATTCTGTCTTGGTGTAAGTGAAAAATAAACTAAAAAATGTTTGATTCATTTAACTAAATTTCTCAAATTATTAATAACCTTTAATTTACTTTTTTTTTTTAAAATAATTTGTTGGTTTACCAACAAGAACAAAAATTATTTCAAAGCTAGGCCGATAGATTTAAATTGTAAAAATTACCCATGATTAAATCATCATTAACTTGGCTGCAATGCTCTTTGTGTTTGTAAACATGACGCTTTTCATCACTATCTCTGGCGGATAGTTTGTTTTTCCCCCACCAGGCAGATTCACCAAGTTAACGAAGATAAAATATTCACAATGAGTACGTCAAAACTTTCCATGCAGTATTTAATTAAACGTAGAAATACGTTAGGAAAAACTAAAAGGGAATGTAATTATTTTTACATTTATCATTTTTGTTTTAAATATAAACTCATATGGTTTATAACAGCATCACATCAAGGTGTCAGCATGGTGAAAAACTTAAATAACCCACCATAAAAAAATACACTATGAATTATATCTTAACTTCAATCAAGCTAGATTATGCAAGAAATGAAAAAAAAAAAAAAAAAAAAAAAAAAAAAAAAAAAAGATTGGTTCTCTGTGTTCCTGGTCTTGTTAGAATAATCGTGGTAGGTCATTAATTGGTAAAAAAAATTTTTAAAAATATTTTCAACAAAACGTCCTTACTGGTTGATGGTAGGTGATACTGAGAGTTTGAACAGCAGTGGTGGCAGAGCGGCATGTACGGTCATTCAAAGCATTGCAAGGTTAAACTGGTCACTTCCACATCACACCTGGAACACAAGATTCAAATCTCCAAACATCTTTTTGCTCATAATGTTCATAAATCCCTTTGGCAAAAACAACAGACACAAAAATCAACATTTGTACGTTGTCTTTTTGTTCTCTTTAACATACATCTAATCATGACCACAAAACATTGCAAACATCACTTTTTCCCTCTTCTTGTACGCACTGATGGGTTGTGTCCTTTTCATTATTTAATACAATTAGCGACATGACAAACAAATGACTCACCACTTATAAGCCAATCAGTAATCTGACCACAACACAACCTTCTTGCCTTTCTCACAGCTCACTATGGATGTCCCCGTTGGGTTCCAAGAGCAGGCAATCACGGAGTGACTGGAAAAAAAAACAAGAAAAACATCCCTTACTGAACTACATGGGTCACTGCTTGGCAAAAAATGTCAAAATTATTCACTGACGATTTTTCCACTTGAATGTGCTGATGTCTAATTCACAGATGACATTGGGGATGATGATGATTACAATGACCCCTTTAAACTCATCCTGCCTTGCTGGTTCAGTTTAAAGTTATGGACTCCAGATACAGATAGTGTGGGCAACGAAACATTCAGTTTAGTAACATATAGGAACTAGATACCAGATTAATTAGACACAAAAAATTAATTTGTGTAAATAAAACAATATAGGCTCAGCTTCATTAATGATCGTACAGCCTACAAATGTAAACGTTTCAGCAAATGCCTTCAACAGTACAAAAAACACACAAAAATACATTCATATAAGAATACATAAAAAAAAACCACCAAAAAAACCCATTCACATAAGAACACATTAAATTTACTTAAAAATACATGCATGTATCCTACCTAAGAATGATTGAAAAGAATAAGAGTGGGCACAAGTCCCGGAGAAAAACCAAAAAGTCCAGAAGAATGGAAAGAAAGTGGGTGGAAGTAAAATTAAAAAACCAAACAGGAAAAAGACATTGCAGCTAAGCCAAATTGTAAATTTGGTTTATGCCATATGGAGTTGACGGAAAAAATCTTGTTATTGATTTATTTTCCTTATAAATTCTATCCGGTGTATTATTTGCATACAATTTTCCAGTAACTGCGATGTCTAATATTCCATTATGGTTAGCACTATTGAAATGTTTGGAAACTGGACACAGAGCTAGATACCAACAAAATGATATTGGGTACTGCATTGATCTTTTCGTAAAGACATGAAAATTATGTTACTTTTTCTATTTTGACCAAGGCTGTATATTTTAGTTGATTATTTCTTGGATGTATTGTTTTCATACAGCATTTTTTAGATTATTTCTGCATTTTTTATTAACTATTCTACTACAACTTTAATCTATAAGTTTTATATAGTTCAGTTATTTTTCTAGCTTGCAGCTAGTTGGCTAGAGTGAGTCATGTTGAGTACCAGAAAATACATACTTGAAATAAAACACCCATCAGATATCACAAAAGTTTTATGATTTTTATATTTTCCCCCCCCCAAAAAATATAGGTAACCAAAACATTAAAAATTCAGTCGTCTTGATACACCTAAAAATACTCAAGTACCTATGGATGTGCTAGGGAATATTTTCTTGTGAGTTTTTTGTGTTTCTCTTCGTGGGAAACAGCTTTAATCTTTAATATGGACTTTAGATATCAAATTACTCGGCCTAGTATAAAATGTCACTTCTGCCATTTTTGTAAACTTCCGCCATGTCAACAACAAATGGCGACCAATTCACGACTGAGACGAAGAAAGCGGGCCAGAAGGGGAGGCATTCGTGTAAAATTCAGAAACAGAGGACAGCAGGGCTTTCTTCCACCTGTTATTTTGAGAAATGTCAGGTCACTGAGTGACAAGATGGATGAACTGGTTTGTTGCTGTAAGCTTTGCTATCAATTTCGCAAAAGCTCTTTAGTATGCCTGACAGAAACATGGCTCAATGAAACGGTACCAGATTCAGCAGTGGCATTGGACAAATTTAACCTTTTCCGTGCCGATAGAACAACCAACAGCGGCAAATCCAAGGGAGGGGGATTGGCAATATATATTAACAAAAACTACTGTATCATCAACAACAGTACAGTGAAACATGTAGTTTGTACACCTGACATAGAACTACTCTGCATCACTTTAAGGCCATTTTACCTGCCTGGGGAGTTCACCCAAATCTGTATCATCCTTACTTACATTCCACCTAATGCTAACAAGGAGCAGGCTGCCGAGAGACTTTTGGATCTAATCCATGATTTCAAAACAAAAAACCCTGACTCTCCGTTCGTCTTGTTATGGGGGACTTAAATCAACTATCACTGGATAAATCCATTCCAACTTACACCCAGTATGTTACTTGCCCCACGCGACAAGACCCAACTCTAGACATGTGCTATGGTAACATAAAAAAGGCCTACACATCTCATGGTTTATTTCCGCTAGGAGAATCCGACCACACAATGGTCCGCCTGACGCCATGCTACACACAATGGTCCGCCTAAGCCTTGCTACAAGCCAGTTTTAAAAACAACAAAAACTCAAACAAAAACTATTGACCTGTGGTCAGATGAGGCGACAGAAAAACTTCAGGGCTGCTTGGAAAGTACAGACTGGGACACGTTTATAAACACTTGCCCGGACATTGACGAGCTAACAAACACCGTCAATTCTTATATCAAGTTCTGTGTAGACGAAATCATTCCCCAAAAAACAATCAGAGTATTCAACAACAAAAAACCCTGGATGAGCAGAGAAATAAAGCATGCCATCCACCACAAGAAGACCATGTTTAAGATTAACGGTCAGGAATTCATTAAAGATAAAAAGCATTAAAGGAAAAAATATATCAAGTTAAAAAACAACACAAATTAAAAAATCGAAAAATTATTCCTTACTAACAACTCAAAGGCTTGTTGGGCAGGACTAAGGCAAATAACAGGATATACTCCTAAGCGTGAATGGTTGAGTGTTGAGGACGTGAAGAATTTTGTAAACAACTTAAATGACTTTTATTGTCCTATTGACAGCCTGGACTTTGGAAGTGTACACAATGAGATGATAAATTCATTTAAAGATGGCAGTAGTACACAGGATGATACTTCATTGTTCACCCAACAGGAAGTGATGTCATTATTTAAACAAAGTGGACGCAGCCAAGGCCTCGGGGCCAGAAAAATTAAGTGGTCGGCTCGTTAAGCTATGCTCAGAGCAGCTCTCCTTTATTTTTTGTTACATATTTAATAAATCTTATGTAACTCACACAATACCAACGATTTGGAAAACTTCAGAAATCATACCAATTCCAAAGAAAAATAAGGTAACTTGCAACAACGACTTAGGACCTGTTGCATTTACCTCTGTTGTAATGAAATGTTTTGAGAAACTTATTCTGAGAGGATAAATTTTGAATTAAGTACAGCAAAAACTTGACTCCCACCAATTTGCTTACAAACCTGCCAGAAGTACGGAGGATGCTATATTACTATTGTTGGAGAGACTTTGCTATCACCTAGACAGTCCAAAAAAATATGCCAGAGAGCTATTCTTAGAATTCTCATCAGCATTTAACACTATCCAACCACACCTTATGATAAAGAAACTTTCCTCAGGTGTAAATTGAACTATTCAGGCTTGGATACTGAACTTTTTAACAAATCGACCACAATATGTCAAGGTAAATGACCAATTATCTCTAACAAGAGATATAAGCACCGGGGCACCACAAGGCTGCGTTCTCTCCCCTTTACTGTATACAATATATACCAATGATATTCAAAGCTCAAGCGACACCGTTCCTATCTTAAAATTTGCTGATGATACCACCATCGTTTGCTTAATATCTGAAGGAGAAGGCTTATACCGCAACTTAGTTACAAGCTTTATCAATTGGTGTGATGAAAATTTTCGCCAACTGAATGTCTCAAAAACAAAGGAAATGGTTGTTGAGATGGGATGTTGACCTGACATTAACCTGACATGACTCATTAACCAGACATAAGACAGTAATATGGCATGAGACATGGACCTAACATGGGACACTGACCTAAGATGGGACATTGATCTAACATGGGACATTGACCTAACATGGGACATTGACCTAACATGGGACATTGACCTAATGAGACATTAACCTGACATAAAACATAGAACTGACAAGGGACATTAACCAGACATGAGACATTAACCTGATATGGGATGTTGACCTGACAGGGAACATTGACCTCACTGACTGGACAAGAGACATTGTCCTGTCATGGGGCACCAACCTGAGACTTTGACCTTTCATGGGACATTGACCTGAAACTGGACATCATTAATCTGACATAAGGCAGTCATGACCTACCTATGCTCCTTTAATACTTTCTCAACTTTAACTTTATTGATGTTCCACACATATACATGGCCATCACCGGAGCCTGCAGCAGCATATTCCACATCAGGGCTGTGGACAAAAAGTCAAGAAATTATACCGGTACCACAAATTTTCAATTAGGATCCTGTGCAATGTCAAAACTGAAAAAAAAAAAGGGGGGGGGGGGGGGGGGCTCGTGTAAGAGAGCAGGAGGGATAGCAATTTAATTTTAAAATTTACCCGGTGTCTGTTTCTTATTTCTCTATTGCATTAAATTTAAATTAATGTACTTGGTTCTTTTAAGTAACGAAGGCATCTAGCCCCAAAAATGTATATTGTATGATGTTAACCACACTGGTAACCTACACAAAATGGTTGTATGTCTTTTAATCTATCGTCGTGGACAAAGGTTCATGAAAACAGATGATACTTTATGTAGTCATGTGGTACAAACCTGAACACTGCCCTTGACCAATCACAGCCAACTTTGAAACCATCTGCACTGATAGAAGAAACCAGAATAGATTTAAGCTTTTATTTTTTTTAAAGAACTAACACGATACAATAAAAGAGTCAGTAAAACAAAGTAAACTCGTAACCATTTCAAAATAAGCTAGGGGATGTAAGTGACCTAGGTATGGGGTGGTAAGCCTTGTGCAGTGTGTTTTCAACATGAACTTTATCTTTGATCCCAAAACTCGTCTCACATGCCAATTGAAATTGTGGAGAGTGATTTATTATTGAATGTATTTTAAGCATTGGGAGAGCCTTTGTTAAACTAATGTGAAGAGTTCATCCTGAGCACAAAAACTAGAGCAACATTTTAAACACGATTATTTTTAAGCTACGTAAATCGGGAAAAAAATGCGTTTGCAGAAAAGTTCATCCAGCCCTTAACCAGGTCATCCTACTGCAAATATGGTACAGTGCAAAAATGATTTAATATCACAGAAAGAAAACAAAATTAATCAACCAGAAAGTCAAGACAGAAAAACATGAATTAGATTACTTCCCTTCTGATACCAGATTACTTCCCTTCTGATACCAGATTACTTCCCTTCTGATACCAGATTACTTCCCTTCTGATACCAGATTACTTCCCTTCTGATACCAGATTACTTCCCTTCTGATACCAGTTGGAAGTTAGAGAATATGTTTGTAGTGACCACTATAACTTTTTTTTAACCTCAAAAAATATTTCATTAACTGACTGCATAGTTGTTAACAGATCAAAGCAAATACCTTTATTATCATTAAGTAATAAACTAAAATTAGTTCAAACTCATTCTTCTTAGGTAAGATGAATAAGTCTAAAATTTAAAAAATGTGCAATAATTTCCTTGAGACCTTGGAGTCTTATTCTGAAGCTTGTGTTAAAAATGTCCCACCCTAGTCCCAGCCGTCAAAATGTACAAAATGAAATGAACATCTTACAAAACAAGCCTTCTCCAACTTGACAAGATGCTTACGTTAAAGTACACGAGACTTGATTCATCCTGAGGTCTATAATCTTTAAACAGTCATCTCTAGCGCAGCATAACAGCTGAGTTTTGTCTGAGACGTAGAAGTTATCAATCATATTTTAACCAAAAAAATGTGAACAATCCACAATTTAATTTTTAATAGAGGAGGGTGGCACCAATTTATTTTTAAATTTAAATATGTGGCTCTGTAAAAAAATAATTTTATGGAAACCACCATTCCAAAATAACATACCCTTCTTTCAACAAGAATAAATGTTTTCAGCCATTAAAACTGTTAACTTATCAGCAAAAGTTATCATTATGTTTGCTTCAAATAGTATACCATTTGGATAACATCTTTATTGATTTATTACTAAACTGTGCCATGGGATAGACTCTCCTACCTGGAGCTAAGCAAAGGGAAGTAAGCCTGCCTTGTAAAATTATTTCATTTATGCTAGTGTCTGTCTGTGACCTAATGTCCCAAAAGCGAATTCGTTTGTCAAAGTGTCCGCTGATAATGCTGGAACCGTAAAGAGTGACAAGGTCGTTGCAACTACTGCCTGCAAATATCGTTTTCACACCTGGAAAGAAAATATAAAGATATGAATAAAAAAAGTAATAATTGCTTGCTATAAAGTGATAGTGTCTATAACAACAACATGAATGCAACATACATCTTCAAGCACTGCTCCTCTGCTAGTCAATAACATTGGATATAGACAAGATAATTCTTTTAAAAAAATGTTTTAAGCAGTTTCTTTTGTTTCTATAAAGGATTGAAGTGAAGTCTATAATTTTTAATCTTCATTAAAAACACATCTGTCAAATCCATACCTTTATATAACTTCATTATTTCCTGTGGATGCTATTTACTCTACTTTTGCTTTCATTAAAAACACATCTATCAAATCCATACCTTTATATAACTACATTATTTCCTGTGGATGCTATTTACTCTACATCCCTGCTTTCATTAGGCAAGGGGGAATGGGGACAGATCTTTTATTCCTTTTCTATTTCTTCAATATGTTTTGTTTTACAATTTAATCCAGGTATCTTTATTAATACCATGTCAACTGATGAAGGCTTGTAGCCAATATGTTAAATTGTGTATATTGTCTTATTAAATATGGCTTCACCTATCTTGCAGTCTGTAGATTTAAATCTTACTTTTTAAAAAAACTGCAGTTTTCTTTGGTTTATAGATTAATTTTTTACAATTCTAAGCTGCTTCTAACCATTCATTGTAGCACTGATAACAAAAATACTACACAAAAACGAGTCATTAATGAGTCTTACATGACTTGCTGTGTAAATCCCAGACTTTTAGAGTCCTGTCATGGCTCCCCGAGATGACTTTGCCTTCACTCAAGAACTTTGCAGACATGACTTTGCCGCTGTGCCCCGTCAGTGTGTGCTGCACAGTGACAGGAAGGAGATTATATGGGTTCAGTTCTCATAGCTACCAACATGAAATGACTTTCAGTGGATAATTTGATTGACTCGATCAGCCTAATCAAAAGTTTTCTCTATAGCATGCTTCTTAAATTTGTTATATTTTTTATATAAGTAGGGTAAAAGTGTCTTTCATTTCTTTTTTTTAAAAACCCATTCGTCTCATGAAAGTTAGGACTGGATGATCGTTGTACATTACTAATGACAATATTTTATTTTTATTTTTTTAAAAACCACCTGAAATTTCTTTTTTTTTTAAACTGCCTTCCTGCATTAATATTTCCTTACCCTCAGTCGTTGGTCATTGACAGTCCATATTCTACTGGCAAAGTCATTTGAAGCACCAACTACCATCGTATCCTGGGGATTAACATTTCAAGCTAAGACCTATTAATAATAGTGTTCAACTTATTTCTGTTTTCATATATTGTTTTTTTTAAATTTAAACTAATGTAAATTACTGTCAGTTGATGTAAATTGGTAGCAGTATTAGTATATAAATGGATATAAATAGTTAATATTATTTTAAAATTGTGAGTTTAAAAAAATTAATATCAATGAATATAAACCAGTATTATAGTTCAGATAAATTGGACAAGGTGTATAAAATGCTTACATCTTGACTATAATCTAATGACGTGATACCAGCATTGCTTCCCACCAGTGTTCCCCGACACTCACATGCAGCTAAAACAAAATGGAAACAAAAATCAATTAAAACATCTCAGGAAACAGAAAACCGGGTCTTATAAAGCAGCGTTTTCCAAACTTTTAAGTTTCACGGACCGGTGGACAAGTTTCCAAACGGCACCAGGGACCGGTGCCAGGTTTATTAATGACATTTTCTTTCAATTTAAACATCAATATTCATGCTCTCTGGACCGGTAACGTAAGGCTTGCCGGTCCACGGACCACCGTTTGGGGAACGCTGTTATAAAGCATAGAATTCATTACACAAACTTCAAACATACAACCCACAGATGCTGTCTTGCTTTGAAATTGTATTCCACCTTGCTTTCTATTCTATTTTAAACATGTTAAATATCTGCACTGGACTGTAGGCATGTTTTGTTTTGTTTATTACACACCAGTGCTTGTTTTCATACAATCATCTACAGCAAAGTTTACAATAGTTAAAAATTAGAGCTCACCATTATGATACTCCCAAATTTTGATTTTTCTATCAGCACCACCTGTGGAGAAAGAGTTGCCCATTGCATTCCACTGTACAGCATAGACTTCACCTTCATGGGCCTCCTGCAAAACGATCAGATGTGAAGCATTACAACATAGAGAAGCAAAAGTGTGGCATAGATTGATTAGAAGTCTTTACTCTTTGTGGGGGCATCCCCATAAACCATGTGTGGACATCCACTAAAACCATGTGTGGACATCCACTAAAACCATGTGTGGACATCCACTAAAACCATGAGTGGGCTTCCTCTAAAACCATGTGTGGACATCCCCTAAAACCATGTGTGGACATCACCATGTCTGGGCATCCACTTAAACCATGTGTGGACATCCACTTAAACCATGTGTGGACATCCACTAAAACCATGTGTGGACATCACCATGTCTGGGCATCCACTAAAACCATGTGTGGACATCCACTAAAACCATATGTGGGCATCCACTAAAACCATGTGTGGACATCCACTAAAACCATGTGTGGACATCCACTAAAACCATGTGTGGGGCATCCACTAAAACCATGTGTGGACATCCACTAAAACCATGTGTGGAATCCACTAAAACCATGTGTGGAATCCACTAAAACCATATGTGGGCATCCACTAAAACCATGTGTGGGTATCCACTAAAACCATGTGTGGAATCCACTAAAACCATGTGTGGACATCCACTAAAACCATGTGTGGACATCCACTAAAACCATATGTGGGCATCCACTAAAACCATATGTGGGCATCCACTTAAACCATATGTGGGCATCCACTAAAACCATGTGTGGAATCCAATAAAACCATGTGTGGGCATCCACTAAAACCATGTGTGGAATCCACTAAAACCATGTTTGGGCATCCACTAAAACCATGTGTGGACATCCCTAAAACCATGTTGGGGCATCCACTAAAACCATGTGTGGACATCCACTAAAACCATGTGGGGACAAACTGTTTGAAACCATTCAATAGGTTACTATTTAAAATCAACTTCTTTTCTGACTGACGTATGCAAACAGATCATGATTCAACCAGGTATTCTATCCATCTACCAAATATATGTTTCAATCAAAGTATGTTATGTGATAATCTGAAAATTTTTAAAATCCCATAATTTTTATTTAAAAAATAAGCATTTAGCCTATATTATTTTTCTCAAATCTTCCTTTGCCTATTAAATATCTTATACTAGGGAACTCTGTGTGGAATCAAGCTGAGCTAGCTGTGAATATCTTCATTAACAATTACTGCCAGTTCCAAAAATGGATGAACATTCAAATCATCTTATTATCTGACTAGCAGATACTCTAACAGGATGTCGGTGAGGCAATGTGAAAACATGAGAACCCTTGAAAGCACTCTGGGAAAAACAATATCAGGGGACATCAGGGTAAACCGTATTTTACGGACCATAAGATGAACTTTTTTCTTCAAAAAATTGCCTCCAAAATTCAGGTGTGTCTTATACTTGACATTAATATAAAAATTATAAAAATGTTTAGTTTTTTTTAAACTGCTTAAAAATTAAGGTGCGTCTTATAGTCCATAGCATCTTATTGTCTGTAAAATACCTATGGCTTTTGTAAGAGCAGACACATGTCTGAATGGACATTCAGTAGCAGCGCCGTGCGGCCCTGCAAGGGCCGCACCATGGTGTGTCCATCTTCTATTTAATGATGGGTAAGTTGTGTCTCAGAGAATTCCAGAAGGAACACAAACAACAAGCGTCATCTCATTAAACTCTTTCCTTGGACCACCCCGATCCAGGCAAATGCTTTTTTGCCACCTTACACAATCTCAGAAACACAAATAACAAAAAAACATTTCACAACATCCTTCCCAATTACAAACATCTTACCACTTATGACAAATAGCATCACATTACTACAGTAAGGATACATTTAATTTCTATGCGTATTTCTATGACCTCCCTGAAAGAAATGGTTGGAAAAATAACTTTTGGAATGCATTATAAAAAAAATGGAAAATCAGATTTCTAAAACTTGGTTCGCTGAACAACAAGAATATTAACATCCCAAATTCTAAATCATCGTAAACACTTTTAAAAGAAATTCAACAATGGAGATGCACTTTTTGAGAAGTGATTCCCAGCACATCCCTCTTCTGCACTAGTGCTAGGGAGCCGTCTGCTATTATGTAATACAAAAATGCAACTTACAAATATAACCTGGGCTCTAGAAGGCACTGAGGCAGCCACACAAACTGCTGGGACAAAGCCATCAAAATCTACTTTGCTGTAAAACAATAAACAACAATACAGTTAGTCTTATAGGAAGGGAAAAAGCACAGCATGTGTAAATAACCCATTAAGCTTTACTAGTGGAAATAGGAAATTAAAAATTATTTTTAAATTATTTACTTACTATATTACAATTTTTGTGTGTGTTTTACGGAGCTAGTAAAATGATAATTTTTAAAGACTGAAAAATGATTAATAAAGTATTTCTCTAAAGAAAAAAAATTAAGAAGAATCATCACAAAATTTGACATCAGGGTTTCTTAGTGTAAATAATTCCTTCAGGTCAGTGACACTGAAAAGTTTGAGAAGCATTGCATTTGAACACAACAACACCCTGTAGTATAAAACGCTTGGTTGATACTCACTTGGCATCTACAGGAACTTGTTCTTTGGCAGCCTCCTCTAAATCTTGGGCCAGTCTCTGCTGCCTTAATCTGCAGGGCCAAAGACAAGATCAGTAAGAATGTGTGATGGTTGAGCTACATAACATTATAGGGACCAGATAAACAGGACACGTAACATACATTGTGGTACATTGCAGGACACCAGATGATTGTTGGCAGTGGCACTCTAAGGCCTACTTGCAAATAACTTTAGTATATTAATGTAACTTCCAACAAATTAAAACTTATGGAGTTTTGGGCGTGCAGACATTTTTTTGTTTGTTTTATCATGGTTAAGAATGTATAATGTGGAGTATAACTATTTGCTATCTCCACAAGTAAAATTGTTGTGTTAGTAAGTCTGATAATTTCCATGATCCTTGTAGTTAGAGAGCCATGTCAAATAAATAGATTTGTATAATATTACAATATATTACAATACACATTGCTGCCGGCTAGCAACAAGGTGGCTGACACACAAATCAGTGTGTGTACAGAAACAGATGAAAAACTGGAAAGCATTGAATGATTCTAGTAATAGTCACTTGATAAAGTCTGCATTCTCTGCATTCATCCTGTCAGCATCTTTGGCTTTCTGCTCCATCCAGCGGGCTATGAGCTCACTGTTGTCTTCTTGGGTTTTCCTGTACTTCTCTTCCAGTGCAGTGAAGGCCATCTGTAACAACACAGTCAATAAATATGAAGTGTATTACAGTGACCATCATATCATCATTTGAAATCAGCTTTGTCTCTTCATTCAGATGAACAATTATGACTTTGTCCACACAGTTGCATACCTGCCTACTTTTGTTTAATGCATCGATTTCAACTATAACTCTTATGCTGCACTTTTTTTGTGCTTCTGAATTTCAAAATGTCCACATACTAGCTTACATTAGTGAGAGCCCACCAAAGTTTGATAGATTAAAAGCTCCTTTTGGACAAAACTTGGTACCAAATATTATCTCTGTAGCATTTCCCAGACCAGTAATAAGCAATGGAAAATAATTCCCGAACTAAGCCAAAAGACATACAATTTAGAATATTCAGCAATGAAAATAAATATTACCAACCCTTCAGATATAATGAATGACCTTAGGGTTGAGAGATGAAAATCAATTTCTTTTTAAAACATCAACCTTTACAGAATTCTTTACAGTAGAATTCTCTGCACCTTAAAGCAATCATCTTCACCTTGTGATTTATTATATTTACAAGTGACGAACCTGCAGGGCCTGGTGTTCATCTTTCAACATTTGATTTGTTGCTTCAAGTTCAGCTATAGCCATCTCCAAGCTTCTTTTGGACTGTTTCAATGCTAAATTATTATCTCGCATATCTGAAATCCTAAGATGCAAAAAAAAAAATACCAAAATGTTTTTAGTAATTTGTTGATGCCACATGAATATAAGAAAAATCTTGAACATGTGGAGGAATATTTTGTTGTGATTGCTTTATAATTTTTTTTTTTTAAATTTAAAAAAGAGTGTGGAATGGCCCTCAAATATTTAGCATTGATGGAAGTATCCAGTGTCTAAAATGGAACATACAGTCTACTGCTAGAACGAGGCCTAATATCTGTTAGAATATTACTTAGATACTATACAAGAGCCAAAATAACATATTCCTAGTGTGCTGGACCATAATGAATGCCAAAACGGTCCAAAGCAAAAATATTAGCAAATAAAAAATTACAACTTCACAAAACAAGTGAAAAGAAGTTAAATTTTATTGCTCTTATAACAAAGCCATTCCACATTCATTTTTTTTACTATTTACAATTAAGAACCTCTCTGCCAGTGTTTCAGTATAAGTAATTCAACTGCATAGTTTTGAGGTAGCCTCTCTCAGGTACTTACATGCTATCTTTGTGCTGAATCTCTTTTTCTTTGTCTTGCAGCAAGGCATTGAGATCAATGATTTGTTGTGCATTCTGTGTGGAAAGCAATTAACTATGAATATTTTGTAACTTTGTTTCTATGAAACATTGCGATTAAATGAAGACTTTTTGATCAGTTGCAACAAAATTTAAAGTTTTATCTTCCCTAATGATCTCTTCATTTAATAAACAATTACACATAAATAACACCAGTGTTTTTCAACATTTTCTTTAGTGCCCACGCCCTATGAATTTTTTTTTACTTGTCCCAAGCTCCATAAAAATTGTTTGACTAAGTCTTGCACCCCCTACAAAATTGAAAATGTATTTCAAAATTGAAAAAATTGACTTCTAATTAATTAATTGAATAAATGAAAGAAAGGTGTAGCTTAGAAAATTAACTTGTGACTTATCACATAAAATAAAATGTTAATTAAGAATTTTTTTTAATATAAAAACATTTATGTCATAAAATTAATGGTTAAATTGTTACTAAATCACTGTTCCTGCCATCTTGTGCTAACGCCCAAAATCAAATTTCAAGAATACAAATTCAACCTTTAGAAACACAAGTTTCAACTTTGCCCTGTTTTTGAAAACACTCACGAGTGAAACACAGATCCCTCCGCTAATGATTATTCATGTTTTCCAAATTATTTACATTGGTGGTTCCATGCTTCAAGGTCCTGACCTGAGCCCCACAACCTCACTACAATCCCTCTATATTCTCTGACCTGGACAGATTGTTCTTTGTTGAGATGAAGTAGGAATTTTAGGAACTCATGAAATGAAAAAGGACACCTCATCAATGTAAAGACAAACCTCTCCTCTCTTCTTGAGAAGTTCTGTCAGCTCTTCTTGAACTTTGAACAACTTTTGTTCCACCTGGTGGGTGCTGCCAACCCTGGGGAAATAGGTACAACTTTCTTCACATCAAATCGCTACACAAGGTGTCTCTGGACTAGTCAGACAAGAACAGAGGACCTCTATGTACCAATCATGCATCACAATCAGCTGCTGCAGAACTGAAGGCAGAATATGACGCACCATGTTATGATGTTAAGTCATGTGTATGTCAGAGATGTCAGTAAATTAAAAGAGATTCACAAAATGGAATATCACCTTAAACAAAAATCTATAAAAACTAACTCTACCCCAGACACTTCGTTCAATAAAAATATACTCAAATACCTAAAAAAAAAAAAAAAATTTAAAAAAAAAAACATTCTGCAACCTAAAAAAATTCTACCATTTTTGCTCACAATTTTAAATCATCAAAATTTTCTTTATGAGTAACTATCAAGGAAACCCATTTGTGTATTTGCATCAGCAGAAAGGATTGCTTGTGAAAGTACAGGAGGAGAATTGATCACAGAGAGCAGTAGAGTACTAGAGAGATGGGCGCAACTCTTTGAAGGCTTACTGAATGGCTCAGGTGGAGCAACCAATGAGGATTACGCTCCGCCAAAAGGAGGACCGGACCCACTGGTCAGCAAACCAACATTCAATGAAATAAGAGATGTGATCTTCACCGTGAAAAATAACAAAGCCCCAGGAGTAGACCTTATCACTGCAGAACTGATAAAGCTAGGTGTTAACAAACTGCATAGGCAAATCCACGACCTCATATCTAGAATCAGGCAGGAGGAAGAAATGCCATTAGAATCGGACACTGCACTCAAAATCCCAATTCACAACAAAGAATCTCCCTCCTTAATGTGATGTACAAAATCCTCACAAAACTTATAGCGAGAAAACTGGATAAATATCGTAAAAAAATTCTAGGGGACTACCATTGCGGATTCCCGCAGAATAGGTTAACCACGGATCATATTTTTACTATAAGATGTCTCCTGGAGAAATGTTACGAATTGGTAACATCGACATACACCAAATATATGTGGATTACACAACAGCATACAATAGTGTGGACAGGAATTACTTATACAACGCTCTACAAGAACTCGGTGTCCCTAATAAGCTTACTCTGCTCATGCATATGACGATGGCTAACTCCAAAAGTAGAATCAAGGTCAGGGAGAATACTCAAGTGAGTTCCCAGTTAATCAGGGCCTCAGACAAGGTGATTCACTATCATGTATCCTGTTTAACATCACGCTGAAAAAAGTTATTAGAGGCATACACGTGAGCACCAGTGGAACCATAACAAGATACTTCCAGAGAGATATTACATAACATCAACCATCAGGAACCTTATATAGCCAGCCATTTCAGTACCTGGCATATGCAGACAATATACCTCTACTGGGTAGAAACAGTAATGACATAATTAAAGCATTCAGGGAACTTAAATGCCTCATTCAAAGCTGGTCTTGATGTAAATGAACCAAAGACAAAATATATGATAATGTCACAAAACTCCCACACTGATGACAACATCAAAATAAACAGCCACAAATTTGAGATAGTGGCTACATTCAAATATCTAGGGGCAACTATAAATGAGGACAATGAAATAATGTCAGAGGCGAAAGAAAGGATAACACCAGGCAACCATTCCTATTTCAGCCTACAAAAGCTACTGGGAAACAAAAACCTCTCTAGGGGAACAAAGAAGACAACATACACCACTAACATAAGACCAGTAGTAACTTACGCTAGTGTGACTTGGACCCTTACCAGAAAAGCAGAGAACTTGCTCAATACATTGGAGAGGAATAATGGAAAATGATATTAGGAGAATCCGTAAAAACCAAGAGCTTTACCAATTATATAAAGACCCACCCACAGTCGCAAAAATAAAAAAAGGCAGACTGCGCTGGGCAGGACATATTGAAAGGATGCTCGAATGTAGAGCAGCAAAAGTGATATACAGGCAGAAACCTAGGGACAGACAATCACTGGTCGTCCATGGCTGAGATGGATTGACGAAGTAGATAAGGCATTTAAACCAGTTGGGGGTTCGCGCATGGAGGCGGAAAGCCATGGATTGTTCCGAATGGAAGAATACATGGGCTGTAGCTCCACTGATGATGATGAGATAAGATTGCTGCATATTGAAAAATAATCTTCATTCTGATCTTCCCTTTAGCTAGTGAACTTCTTGTTAACATCTCCGGAGTGTTTCAGCGTAAGGGCTGCCAAAAGTAGGTATTAATTATGAACAATAGTTGTAATTGAGAAATGAAGCTAAATTATTTAATCTATAAGTAATCGACTATAGGGAGCCCAGACACAAAAGGCAAAAAGTCTATAGCCCAGACCTGTTGACTCATACGATTTTGGCGTACAATGTACAATTTTGAGGTGTATACATTATATATATACTGTATGTTTATTTTTTTTACCATTAAGATAATGTATTGAACGATTTTGTGATAAGTGATGATATTGTACAATTTTTAGAGTTTGTGGGTAAACAGGTCTGATAGCCAAGAAAGATTTTAAAAAGATCTTATGTGATAGAAGTATTCATTATTTTTCTATACCCCCCCCCCCCCCCCCCCCAACTTATCTTCAAAACAGTATGAGAGTGAAAATAAAGATATATAAAAAGTAATTTTATTTTTAAAATATTAACAACTCACTGGCCATCTCCCCGCGGATGTGATGTTAGGGTTTCCTCTTTCAATTTTTCTACTTCAACTTGTAAATGTACATTTTTAGATTGCAAAGATGCTGCAATTTCTTGAAGACGATTATCTGGAAAAAGAATCAATGTTATCCATTAGCCTACAAAGATGTTATATAATACTTATGTACATTGATTTTTTCATTTGGATATTCATCTTTTGTTTTGAAAGAATTTTAAGTCAAACTGTATAAATGTGTAATAGGTACTTTGGTGAAATTTTTAAGATATTTCAAAAAATATAAATGTAATACAGTCGAGTAAAGCCAATTGAATAGTTTACAAAAACACCAAGATCAACTTTCTAGCTTAACCTTTTTAGTGCTAACCTCAATACACATTTTTGACTTTTGAGTTTTCCTCCCCATTTTGTGTCACATTTTTCAACTATATTTCTTGCATATATCTCAACAAAAATGTCATATTTACAGGATTGTTAATAATATTATATATTAAAGATTGAAAGTTGAAAGTATGCTTCAGAATAGCATTTTCTTATTTCAATAATTATTTTAAACATAAGATCTAATTTTTTCCTACTTAAATTCAATAAGCTGCGCATTTTTTTAGTGGACTACACATTACTTTTTCAATGTTTAAAATACAAAGCTCGTATTTGGTATGCTGTTGCAACTTATTAATTAAAAATGCAAGTAATTATTTGTATTTATAAAATGATTTATATAAAAAAAAGTTAACATTAGCTTAATGTTATTATGTAGGTAACCTACATTATGCCTACTCTTTTATAATAAATAATATAATACTTTTAATAGGCCTATCTATGTCAAAGACGAATGGTTATAAATCCCATGACCATTGCAACTAATCTCAAAATTAATACCACTGACAGCAGGCTATTTGATAAGTGAATAATAATTATTTATGTTATAAAATATTTTTTATTTATTTAAAATCATTTATTAATTATGTTATCTTTCCCATTTATATTCTGGATAACCAATTGAATGAACTATTAGCTACCCCATGGATGCTATTAATAATGGGTCATATGCCGACAAGCATTATCACCGTGATTACAAGTTACATAGCCTAAAATAATTACCTTTATGGTTTTTTTTTATTTTTTGACCCCCTTACTTATGACTACGGACTACACTCATGAATTTTGGATATGTTACAGAGGACAGAATGAATTTAAGAAAGTTTTTTTTTTTTTACCAATGTGCAGTTATTTTTTTAATATATTGGTCAGTAAAGTTAACCTATAATTAACTTCAATTTTCAAAGCTTAAACCAACCTAAAACAAACAAAAAAATTAATAAATTCTCATTCTCAGTTGAACAATCAATATGTGAGCTTTAAGTAATGGGTAGATATAGAATGCATTATTTAATCAATAATGGACCGTAATAGGTAAACAACCATACTCTCAGTACATTTTAAAAGTGTATTGTGTATTTTTTACAACAAAATCACGATACCAGATTTTCTGTTCCTGGGCACTACCGAAGTGTCAAGTAATAGCTGAGATTAAATTTAAATAATAAATTTTTAAGGCTAATGTTCATTAATTATGCACTAATTTTCTGTCATTGATTGGCTAAGTAAATAAGAAATAGTTCTACTCATCCATTCATGATGATGACTCATTCAGTGATTCTGAATCAGAGTCATTCATGATGATTTTAATATTTAATGATTTTACCATTTCTAAAAAAACATAAAACACCGAATTTATGTATATTTAAATCTTGGGGACCAAGGCTTAAACGTTAAATGAGATAGGACATACTTTAGACTTAAGCAACTTTACTCTTAAGTGTTAAAAAAATTAATTGGCTTCCTCCTCTTTTTGATTCTTCTTTCTTTTCTTACTTTCGACTTCGTCACTCAACTTTTCTTTCAGTTTAATTAGTCAATTTAAAAAAAAAATTGTAAATCACTTCTTATAGAAAACTTAACAAAACTGATATTCTGAAAACTAACTTGTCTGAATAAGACTTGTAAATGGATAGGTCTGTTTATGGTTACGACGCTGAATTTGACTCAAAACAAACTCCTTCCAATTTGTGCTCGCCGCCATGTTTGTTTCCCTTCGCGATGAGTAGAGCTATCAAAATTTTCAAAAACGATAATAATAGAATTATAATTTACCCCAAAAAAAGTAATTTGCTTAATTACCTAAAATAAAAATATTTCAATATGAAAAAGAAGTAGAATGGCAGTCAGATATTATAAAAAAAAATAATAAAAAAATAAATGCTAAACTAAACTACTCCAAATGTAGCTTTGTATGAATATTTAAAATCGGTTTAATTAAATAACTCATGCCATGTAATATATTTATAACAATAGTATTTTAATTTTAGTTTAAGGCATTATAATTTAAGGGGAAACTTTACGGTAAAAGATTATGTATTATGTACTAAATCTTCAATAAGTAAAAAATGTCCCATTTCAACGTCTTGAAAGGTTATTTATATTGTTAATTCCAATAATTGTATAACTTAACCTAGTCGCCAAGTCCACAGAAATAAAAGAAAAAAAAAACAAGGCATACTCAGAAAATAGTCAAAGGTAAAAAATCATTACAAGAAAAACAAATAAAACGTAATCAGATTAGTTGTAAGTTGTAACATACGCACGTGAAACGTGGACCCTAATAAAAACGGTTGAAAACGTATTAAACACATGGGAGATAAAAGTTATCCGGAAAATATATGGACCAAGAAAGGATGCATAAAATATGGATGGAGAATACGAACCAAGCAGGAATTTTTAAGTCTATATTAGGATCCCACGCTAGTAGCAGAAATAAAATAAAAAAAAATAAAAAAACAGGCTACGCTTGGCAGGACACTTAGAGAGAATGCCAAGTAGAGACCGACCGAAAATGATTTTCTGATTTCGGCCAAAGCCGAAAATAGGCCGAAAGTTTAAAATGACTTTCGGCCGAAGCCGAAAATAGGCCGAAAGTTTAAAATGACTTTCGGCCGAAACCAAAAAAATACTGAAAGTTTAAAAATGACTTTCGGCCGAAGCCGAAGCCGAAACCGAAAATGAAATATTTAGATATTTTGAAATTCGTTCCCGCATACATTCTGCATACATCGAAAATGATGGGAGAAAGTATAAACATTTAAATTCTTTTAATAAAAAAATGAGATAATCGTGAATATTAATAAATAAACATCTAATATAACATCTTGTTGTTAAAGATCGTTTATTTTGTTCATAAAGATAGCTGAGTTTGTTGTTAACTTTATTTGTTCTTAAAGATCGGTTAGTTTGTTGTTAAAAATCATTTATTTTGTTTTTTTTAAGATCACTTTGTTTGTTCTTAAAGATCGCTTAGTTTTTGTTTAAAGATCTTTTAGTTTGTTATTAAAGATCAATTAGTCTGTTCAAAAAAGATTGCTAAGTTTTTTCTTAAAGATCGCTAAGTTTGTGTTATTAAAAGATCGTTTAGTTTGTTCATATAGATGGCTAAGTTTGTTCTTAAAGATCAATGATTTTGTTCTTAAATATCGCTTAGTTGTTCTTAAAGATCATTCAGTTTGTTCTTAAAGATCATTTAGTTTGTTTGTATAGATCTTTTAGTCTGGTATTAAAATCCTTGAGTTTGTTCTTAAAGATCGCTTATTTTGTTGTTGAAGATAGCTTAGATTTTTCATAAAGATCGCTTAGTTTGTTCTAATAGATAATTGATTTTGTTCCTTAAGATCGATTAGTTTGTTCTTAAAGATCTTTTAGTTTGCTCCTAAAGAACATTTAGTTTTCTGTAAAGATCGCTTAGTTTATTCTTATAATTTATTTAGTTTACTATTAAAGATCATTTGTTTTGTTCTTAAAGATCACTTAGTTCGTTCTTAAAAATCGCTTAGTTTGTTCTAACCCCTCAGCAAAACCTAGACAAGCAAAAACAGCACCAGCACCTGGGGTGGATGGGACTCGCTAACCCTGGGTGGCAAATCATCTACGTGGCGGTATGACATTGACGCAATGAAAATTCCGACAACTCCAGCGACGTGGATCGCATAAAGAGCATAGGCAGACGTACGAAACACTGCTGGTCATCTACTCATGTATCCTGATCTATTTCTAGTGGTCTCGTCTTTCCATGGCTCAAAAAGAGATTCAAACGATCATACGATAAAGTGAGGCTGACCAACTCTCCCTTGTCATCTTAGCATTCGAATAATAAAATAATAAAGGTATATAAAACTGGTGAGAAAGAAATCGTTAAAAGACTTTTGAGATGTGTATTTAAATTTAAAAAAAAGCTATCTATACATTTATAAAATGATGTTTACGTTTCTAACATCATTAAACGTTTTAAAAAGTAATTTTCTGCTATATATTATACAACTCTACCCCTTTTTGTGCCCTTAAACTACATTTTTTTCTCTAAAAGTGACCTTAAATTAACAAATCTAAATGATCACAAATTAAATCATTATTGTCACTAAAGGAAATCATCGACGCCTGATTTCTACGCTAGAGAAATTAAATACTTTAGATGTCATGGGTTTTTAAATTGTTAAATGTTTGGCCTACCTTGCCACTTTTCCTGCCCCTAAGCTAAATTTTATTTCCCTAAAAATTGTGACAACTTAATCTTAAATTTAAAACAAAAATAAAAATCCCAGGCCATGTGGATTTCGTCCTCCGAAGCCCACTCCATCGTCGATGTTGTCTTCCACGTAAAAATGTACACATCCTATTTCCTACCCCCCGATATGTATGAACCTAAGAAGGTTAATTATTTATCAAGTTCATTTCTTTATTCCGAGGCGTATCTTGTGCTGCCTTGGGGCAAAATGAAAGTATTGCCCACCCTCATTTAATAATGTTGTTTTTCTTCATTTGGTTTGCTTTTATTTGGATGAGTGATAAGTGCAATACTGAATGCTATTGGGCTATGGAGTTTCGTTGCACTGATTGATTTAAACGGCATTTTCTTATTAAAAGTATATTTAACAATTTAGTTAAAAATTTAACCAAACTTTCACATTATAAATTTATTAAAAGTATATTTTTGGGATGAAAAAAAAAGTAAAAACTTATTAAATGTTAAAAATACGAAGCTACAATATTTAGTGTTTTATTAACAATTAAAAGCAATCAATTATATTTATTAATTTAACCTTTAAGAAATACTTCATCAGTTTTGTCACACGCGGTTAAATCAAAGAAACTTAGAGCTTTGGCTGAAATATGCAATTCGCACTATGACGTCATTTGTTTGTTTATTTAGAACAAATTAATTTTTATTTTATTTCGCAATATTAACAACGCACTAAAAAGCGCACTAAAATAACTGATTTTTTTGGGTTTTCCCGATAAATGCGATTACGATGTAATTCTTAGATCATAATTTTTTAAATTAAAATTTGTTTTCATAACTTTCAAACAGTGGTGTAGTTTGGGATTTGGGGGCCCGGGGGGCTTGGCCTCTTTAGACTCCCCTGCATTTTGACATTCAACATTATTTATTGTTTAAAAAATTCGGACATGACTTTGGGGGCCCCTCTCAAGTAGGGGCCCGGGGGACATTCGAATTTGGACCCCCCCCCCTAGCTACGCCACTGCTTTCAAACTCGGATAAACTGCTTAATTTTTTTTTACATTCAAATTTATGCAATTTCCGTAAAGTAATAGAAAATCACTATCACTGTTTTAAAGAATCCGAACGTGTTTAAATCTTTTCGTCTCTTTGGCGTTACGGCCAGCCTAGCTGATTCTTATATATATATGATTTGAAACATACCCTGCCCATACAGTGATTGCTGACTGAAACATACACCTCACACAGTGATTGCTGATTGATTGAAACATACACCTGACACAGTGATTGCTGATTGATTGAAACATACACCTCACACAGGGACGTCATTTGGGAGGGCCGGGTGGGGCATTAGCCCCCTTTCTCCCTGAATTTGTATGTTTTATTTAATTACTATGTACTGTGGCGCCTTCAGTAGTAAACAACTCAACAAACCGATCAAGTGTTGGTTCACCCCACCCCGCTGAAAAGGGATGAAATGTCGCCCCTGCTCACTGCTCACACATACAGTGATTGCTGATTGAAACATACACCACACATACAGTGATTGCTGATTGAAACATACACCACTAATACAGTGATTGCTGACTGAAATATACACCTCAGATGCAAGGATTGCTGATTGAAACATAGACCTCACATACAGTGTTTGCTGACTGAAATATACACCATTGAAACATACACCTCACAAACAGTGATGGCTGAATGACATATACACCATTGAAACATGCACATCACATACAGTGATTGGTGACCACGATATTACCGACTGAGTTGTGCGAGACGTAGTTGACGGGATATACGAGACATGGTTTTATCACTTCCACTATTTTGAAGACTGGTATGGGATTAGTTGGGGGGGGGGGATTTAAACTATGTGTACAGTTGGGGCATGTGGGGGGGGGGGGTTGGGATCTATTGCAGCCTATCAAATAGACTCCAATATGCGTAAAGGAGAACTCCAAAAAGTATTACCTAATTGTAGGTCGCCTTTACCAAGAAATATACATCAGCTTACATCCCTAAATCAGTGATTCCCAACATTTTTTGTGCAATGCCCCACCTAAGCCTTTCTAAAATTCTTATGCCCCCCATGTATCAGATACACAATTTTTAATATTCAAAAATGGGGCTGTTCACTGAAGAAACTTAAATGATTTTTACAAGTTTAACGAACGCATATTTTCAAATTGAGACTTTAAACGATTCTCCTTTTAGAATACAAGTTAAATCACAGGAGAAGGTTGGTTTTCAAATGCTAGACAGCTCATTTTTCAAACTGCCCCCTTATACAATCAAATTGCCCCCCCCCCCCTTTGTGAGGCGTGGGCACCATGTTGGGAAACCGGGCCCTAAATCCTCAAATTAAGAACGACTTTACCGAGATATACACACCTCGTACTCACATTAAGAACGACATTACTGAGACATACACACCTCGTACTCACATTAAGAACGACATTACTGAGACATACAAATTTCGTACTCACATTAAGAACGACATTACTGAGACATACACACCTCGTACTCACAT